AGGAGAGGTTGGGAGCTTCAGTCACCCGCCAGCCTGAAAACGGCCCTCAGCCCCTCACCCAGACTGGCCAGGCACCCCAGTGGGGACCCCCACCCTGAAGGGGGTGTGACCAGTTGCAAACAGCCATCATCCCCTCACCCAGACTGGCCAGACACCCCAGTGGGGACCCCCACCCTGAAGCAACAAGATGGCGGCTAATTTGCATACTGAAGGCGGGTGGCAGTGGGCAAGGCTGTCCGCGGTCCCAGGACCTGGATCTGTGACCCTGCTGGGCAGGGGGCAGCGCAGGAGGCTGTCCGAGGTCCGGGACCTGGATCCGTGACCTGGTGGGCGGGGGGCAGCGCTTGAGGCTGTAGGCAGTCTGGGACCCAGATCCGTGACCTGGGGGCAGGGGGCAGCGCTTGACGCTTTCTGTGGTCCCGGGACCCGGATTTGTGACCTTGCTGGGGGGGGGAGGGCAGTGCTTGAGGCTGTCTGCAGTCCCAGGACCTGGATCCGTGACCCTTCCTGGCGGGGCGGGAGCTCGCACAGGGGCGGATTGGCCGGGGTTGGGAAGGGCAGGACGCCTGGCTTCCGCCCAGCCCCAGTCACTCTGGGCAGGTGAGCAGCGCAGAGAGCCTCTGGACAGGGGAGGCAGGCCAGCGGAGGGCGGCCTGTACTCCCCACATGGCGGTGGTGACAGCTGTGAGTGAGCCAAGCGGAGCCTGCAGGCTGAGCTGAAGTAGTGCCTGCAGGCCATCAGCGCCCAGGAGTGGCTGCACAAGATCCGCCTCCTGGCCCAGAAGGTGCAGGATCACAGGGACAGCCACCGTGGTGGGGCAGACTGACATCCTCCTGGCTGCACCATGGGGGTTTGCAGATTTGCAAAGCCAGTGGCCTCTGGTGTGCACATCCCCCCCTGGCGTGCAAACATCCCCCAGCACACTGTCACCCTCCCACACCTGCAACAGTTGCAAACCAAGGCGTGCACAAGTTCCCCCCGCCTCTCCACCGCACTTCCATTCACCCGGCATGCCTAACGCCCCCACAGGTTGTGCACACATCCCCTCTGATGCGCTCATGTCCTTTGGAGAGTGTCTGGGTGTTCTGGGTGCTGAAGGTGGGCGCCTGTGAGATGACAGTGAGAGGGCGGAGTGGTGATGCCCTGTTCCCATGGAGGCCAGTGCAGCTATGAGATCACCTCTGGGGGGTTAATGCAGGTGCTGAGGCAGGAGCAGGTGCAGATAGACATACCCGGTGGGCACGGACAGCCCTCGCTGAGGTGCCTTTGGTCAGCGTTCAAGATCAAGAACCCAGAGGCGGAGAGGAATTCCGTCCTCTCAGTGAAACAGTGGGATAGTCGGGACGACTGTAGTGGAGGAATGTGCACTTTGGGTGCCAGCACCCATGAGCGAAGGCTGCCCTGACTGAGCCTCGCTTGCTTGGGGCCTAGCTCACTCCTGCCGGGCAACGGGTGACAGGACGTGCTTTTCTGAATTAATAAAAGAAAACATTGATTCTCCTGCTGCCCACGAAGGTGGAAAGTGAAGTGGGGAGACGTGGGGAGTGAGCAAGGTTCCCTGTCTGGGGGTTCCAAATCTGCTGTTGGTTTCTTTCACTGCTGACTAGAGATATACAGGGTGTCCCCCCGAAATGTATACACACTTTGAATACCTACTAATTCCAATGGTTTTAAGCATAAGAAAGGAACAACAATGGAGCTGTTATCTGTTAAAAGTGTGGGCACAAACAGGTAGTTGGACATTCCCTGAGGGGTCTCAGATTGGAGAGGGTGAAGGCCAGACTGAGGGGCCCCTTCCCCCACCCCCCACCCCAGTGTACGAATTTCGTGCACCGGGCTACTAGATATATATATATATATA